GGCTGAAAGAAGAATCTAGGACTGTCACAGATGGAAGTGATTGGATGTCACTTGTGCTGAATAAGAACAGGAAGATACTAACCTCACTGAAGCATATTGCTAGAGTTTATCTGTCACTTACAACTAATTAACTAAAATACGAATTAGCTGCCCTTATGGTCAGGCTCTTCTGTGCACATTTTTTAGTATGACAAATATTCTAGGAAAACTGAAGCTTTAAATCTTACAAAGAATTGAAGTCAACAAGGAGCTTATATATGCAGATACTTGTTTTTGCACCCGAACTCAAAGACACTCCTTTAATTCATGGGTGAGAAAGGCAAATTATCTCCTTTCAGAATATCTCCAGATGCTATCACAGGATGATGGCACTGGCTTGTCCTGCTCCAGCTTCCCAGGGGAAGGTCCACAGCACAATGTGATATACTAACAGACTCTGAAGAACAATCAACAAAGAGACAGCATGCTCTCCAATGGCTCTTGTTCCTCAGTAAAGCAGTTTCCAAATTCAGGTTTATCAGGGGAAGCAATCTCACAGGACCCAAATGCAGCATGCTTTTCGACCCTCTACAACTCTGCTGCTGTTTCTTGGGAAAGGCAAAGGCATTTTATGTTCACTCTATATTTAATGTGAATTTAATTTGTGCTGTTCTATTGAATGTATTTCATTTCCATTAAATGCAAGATGACACACCGTCCTACCTCTATTTCCGTACAGTGTTTCTCAAAGTGTATTGAAAAGTCATAGATTTGGAAAATATGATCTATGTATCTATTTAGCACAGTACAACTTTAAATCTCCCTAGAGAAAACTTGACAGTGAATTTTTATTACCATTCTGATATAAGTAAAGACTTTAAAGTGTGAAGCTTTATGGCACTATTTTTGATTTGTGTTAACTAAAATAGTTTTTAAAAACCCAAAACCAAGCTGGCATTTTAACTAGAAAAAGAACTTTTTATATGAGCATGCTTTTCAAACAAGCCAGTCCCAATTCTCTACAATTTCCTTATGAACCAATAATATTTATTTAATAAATCGCCTTCTTTACTATGATACAGATACTCTGACTTATAAATCCACCAGATTATCTGAAATTGACAGTGTATGGAAAATTCACCTCTGGTCCAGATTTGAAATGTAAGTGCCATTACATCTGTAAAACTAAATGCAAAGTCTGATATAATGATTTATTACACATACATGACTTACAAGTGAAATGTCACAAAGCCACTGAATTTTATATTTAAAAGTATACAAAAAAATTGACAAAAATAGCACAAAAATGTGTACTACGTATTTCAGAGAAAATCTTGTGCATGAATAAAAACTACTTAGGGATTTCTTGGATTAAGACCAGAAATTCAGGGTTTAGAAGATGTTCTTTTGTTACTTAAACCTGATTTCTTCTTTTGCTACTGTAAAACAGAGTTGAAGGCTTTGGGTTTTTTTCAAAACCAGTTTTAAGGATCGCTCTGTGGACAGAATCAATGCTCAACATCATTTATAGAAGCTGCATCCGAGGCTAACCTTCAACAGCTTTTTGAAACTATTGAAATTTCACTTCAGCCCTGCACAAAGTCAGAAAGAAAGAATGGGTGAATCCTGCAGGAAGAAAATTTGTGAAAATAGAACTTTTTAACAATTTTTTAATTATGCTCATTTCCTTACTTATGCTTGTGTAGCCCTAGAATTCACCCTCTATTTCTTGTGCCACAATTTCAGACTGAGTTGTGGTGAAGATAGATTTAGTCAATTTTAAGGAGGATGAAATTATTTAAGTATTTCTCCAAAGTCTGGTTAGAACTTTGCAATTCAATGTAGAGAAGTTCAGCTAGTATGAAGTTAGTACCAGCATAGGAAAACTTGGTAATGTCAAGAAAATCATTGTAACTACAATAAAAATAAAAGACAGAATCTGGCCTACAGACTTTGAGTTAGGAGAAAAAAGGCAAAATAGGATACAGAGACAATCTCAGATCACATTGTTCTTTCCTCATTAACCATTTCTTTTGGTGGTGCCTGACCAGTACCACATTGATACGAATGAAATTCCCAGTTCCATTTTTCCCCCTACCTTTTTTCTTTTTTCTTCTCTCAGAGGCTTTGTTACCAAATCTGAGGATTGTAGTCCATTTAGCTTGAGTATTCTTGTTCAGTTGTATTATATTGCTTTTCTGTTCTTCTTTGCAAAAGACCGAACACAGCTGGATGAGATGCAATACAGGATGTGCATCCTACAGAATACAAGGAAGTATTAGAAAACACTACAAATAAACAGAGGAAATGGAAAAATCAAATTCACTAAAAAAAGATTTCAAATTCTTCATCAATTTTGCAAAGATTTAATGTGTAAGAAGCACAAAAAACATCCCCAACACGAATAGACTCTCTCAATGTATATGGAACAGTTTGGTGTAACACTGAGTACATCCATGACTGAATTAACAAAGCAGTATATATAATATGTCAATTTTATCTTAATTTACAATTATCAGGAAGACAGGTCATTTAAAATTAGTTGATCAGGAAGAAGAATATACACTTTTTTTTTAATCTCTTATTTAACTTCTTTATACACTCATGTACACGCATATCTTTTGTGTGGTTAACACATTATGTAACTTTGAGAATCCATTTATATATGTATGATATGATACATACATCATGCACATACAATGTTAGATCGTATAAAATAGTACAGTATAATCTGTATAAATGCAGATGATGATAAAAATAAGTGTCTGGCCTAATACTATACGCAGGAGTGGAATACACCTCGTTACTCTTTAAGTCTTTCTCCTATAAATGTTTCCATTTAGCAAGTTTCTACATTTTTATAAACATAATCATTCAAATCTCAATACAATTTCTTTAGTACATTCTTCAGGGTAAAAGATGTCTTTTTGGCTTAGTGACATAGTAAAATGCTAGCACTTCATGCTAGGAAATTGTGGAGGACTAACTAGTTTGAAGACTTCCTACATCGTCGTTAATCACTGTTAAAATATATGCAACGTGAAAACTAACTTCACCCATGAAAATTTGCCAAGAAGACACAAAATTCCTGCGTGTATTTAAAACAGCCTTTTTAAAAGAAGATAAGCCTACTCATTGTTCTGCACAGCTCCCCTTTCTAAGTACACATGCATGAGGATGGAATGACAGACGACAGAGGATGAGAAAATCAAGAGTCTGTACTATGCCTACACTTGTCATGGTATCCAAAGTATCAACAGAGCATTCTGAATGAAACATGAAAACTGTCATATTCTAAGCCATATTAATTATTCAGCAAGTGCAAGAAATACAGCACATTTTGGAGCCTCTCTCTACACCCTTCTCGGAAGTAACAAGGAGCCCACAGGGAAAGTGCTCAAAGCCCAGAGTATGGTAGCCGTTTATTCGTCAATGCTGAGCATTGTATTATTGTTATTAATCCTAGTAGTAATTCTAATTTTGTCTTACCTACCTAGAAGTTCAATAAACAAACCTCCCCCCCAGTATAAATTCCCATTTATGGCACAACATTTTCTATATCAGGATCCGCATCTGCGCAAGGCGCGTTTCAGATCCTCGCACAATCTTGCCACCGAATTGCAATTACACCCTTCGCTCTTCGCTGCCTTCGCTTGCTTCCGAGACGACAGTCACTTATTCTGTTTACATCGCGGTATCTATCCTTCGAAAGGACACGGCGACGCACTTTTAGCGGAGCAGCACAAAACCCGGTTTACGCCGCTCGGTATCGGCCCCGGGAAGGCTGCTCGGGACAGAGGCGGAGGAGGCGGGGGCCGAGCAGGGGGTGCGGAGCGGGGGCCGCAGCCGGGGCCGCCGCCTCTCGCTGCGGGTGCTGCGCGGCCCCGGCCCCGGCGCGGCCCGGGAGAGGAGCGCTCCCACCGAGCCACCGTGCCCCGCGCAGCACGCTCCGCTCTGCTCCTCATCCGGGGAGCGAGAAGTTTTTGTGTCCGTCCCACAGTTGTTTCACTCATTGGAGGAGCGAGGGGTGGGTTTGGAGAAAGGAAAGCGGAGGGGTGGGGGCGTGATGGACCCCCGGGAAAAGCTCTCCCGGTCCGCAGGGTGAGCGCTGACAAGAGAGATTTGGCAAGTTCCTCTCTCCCTCGGGTTTCACTTTTTTTTGTTTCCCTCCCCCTCCTATTTAAATTGTCTCATTGTTAGGGGATTACACGCGCTTCAGGTTACACCCGGAGAGGGCAGGGGAGAAGCAGCCGCTCCTTCGTCCCCACATAGAATCTATATTGCCATTAACCTGTTCTTCATATTTGGGGCAAACCGGAGACGCGAAACGGTCGGAAAACGCGAACGCAACAGAGGGAAGCGATCCCAAGTGATGTCCGCCCCGAGGAACTTGACTGCTGTGGCAGGGCTGTCTTGGGGAGCCATCCCGCAGCTTCTGTCGAAGTTTCCCTTTCGGTGGCAGCAACCCAGGTGCGCGCTCAGCCCGGCCACGGGCGGGCACCGCGCGGGGTCACCGCCGGGACCCGCCGGCGGCGGCTCGGCTTCGGGCTAAGGCCGGACCCTGGTCGGGACCCCTCTCTCTCGCTACCCCGGCGGCTGCGACACGGGGAGACCACAAGGAACCCTGGGGGAGGGACGCATGGACATCCGCTCGCTCCCTCGCAGGATGATCCGGGCAGTGGCCTCCGGGGTGCGGGACAGCACCGGGAGCCGCCCGAGCTCGGTGCCCCGCTCGCGGCTCGGCCCCTCCGTCCCGGCGCTGCGCCCCGCGCGCAGCTCACGGCTCCCTGGCACCGGCAGACACCCGACACCGCCGCGCGCTCATTGGCCGGCGCGCCCGGCACCGCCCCCCCGGCCGCGGCGACTCAGGGGGCGGCTCGGCCCGTCGGCCGCCGATAGCTGCTGCCGATTGGTCAGGAGCTGCTGTCAGTCACGTTGAGGGACGGGCCGCCCCGCCGCCGAGGCCCCGCCCCCCCGCCCTCATTGATATTATCGGCGCGCGGCGCGGGCGGCCGGGCTGCAGTCGGGGCTGGCGGGCGGCCGGCCCGGTGCGGGAGCCGGGCAGCGGCGCGGAGGCGAAAGAGAAAGGCAGCCTGGAGGGAGGGAGCGCCGAGCCACTGACTAGCACAGCAAATTCTCCACCGTCCTCTAGCACCCACCAAGCGGCGGCAGTGGCAGTGTCTAGGAATAGAGAGCTAGAAATATAAAATCACCCCGCTCCTGCACCATGGCTTTCCAAAGTAGGCTCCCTTCTTGGATTATTTTGTGCTCCGTCTGGCTGTTCCGCTTTGCACACACGGGGGAGGCACAGGCTGCGAAAGAAGGTAAGGTGATGCGGAAAACAAAAGTTTGAGCTTATTTATTGCTTTTGCCCACGAAGTCTGGTTGGTGGCTTAGTAGGGGACCTTCCTGCCCCTGCCAGCCGCTTGTCAGCCCCCCACTCAGGAAAAAAAAAAAAAAAAAAAAAAAAAAAAAGAGTTTTTAGCTGAGGCGGGAGGGAGGAAAAAGCACAGCATTCACTGGGGGTTGTGCGTATGTATGTGTGAGGGACCGGGACAACTGCCTTTGCTCCTAGGAATGAGGCTTGCGAGGCATTCGCACGTGATGAGGAGGAATGGGGCTGGGAGAGCCCCCGGGCCGGGTGTCCGTGCAGGGCAGCGTCGCTCTCCCGAGAAGGTGCAGGGAGGGCGGGTTACCTCGCTGCTCCCCGGGCAGGGGCTGAGGGCCGAGTTTTAGGGCTCGGGACGTTTGGAGGGAGGCGAGGCACGGCTCGGGGCTGGGGCTGCGGGGCGCTCCCCGCCGGGGGCCTGCAGCGCTCCGGCCCGGCGGGGCCGGGCACAGACCGCGGGAAGGAGCATCGGGGTGCAGTTTTGCACGTCCCAGCTGTGCAGGCTGGACACGTATTCAGAGGGTACCATACGGCCTGGCGTCGTGTGCCTGCAACGTGTGTGCTCTCCCCCGGCATCGCTGGAGAGAGGTTTAGGGTTTTTACACCACCTGCGTATCACAGCGGAGCTCCCCCGTCCTCATCAGTTCAATACTGGTATCTGTGTAAGGCGCACCCCGCACATTTGTTTCCCCCGCGCACGGAGACAAACCAGGCAGTTTTGTATCAGAGACTGATGGAGGTGTTTAAAATCAATTCACAGAGCCCATCTGGGAATCTCTTTTTTCACGCGGAGAAAATCCGAAATGATTTAAAGGAGCTCCCTGCTCGCGCTTGACAGCCGAAGGCGAAGGTCCGTCTCCATCTTCGGGGGTGGGGGAGGACGACACACACGACATGACAGGGAAGGGGGAGTCAGGGCATTTTCGGTGCCTCTGCATATGTATACGTTTGGGGTTTTCCCCCCGCCTCAGCTGGATGCGTCAGTATTTTTCATCAAACCTCCGGCATGCAATAAAGTATCATTTGGAGCTTTAAAAAATGCCTTAATTAAAATGTACCCTGCCCTTAAAAGCCGAAGTCGTTGGCGAAATTAGAGAGGGAAAGAAGAAGCAGCCTTTCCGTAGCAGCATTTCGAAAGTTTATTTGGAGGGGCTGTAAAGCACAGAAAGCCTCACGCGGGGAGCACTAACGCGTAGCCGTGGGTGGGGGAGAGGAGAAGGGCCGGGCAGTCGGGCAGGGAGCGGGCGGGGAGGGTGCGGACTGCCTGCCCTGCTCTGCCCTGCCGATTGCTCCGTGATCGGAGCTACTCCGATGCTTCCCAGTGGTAGCCTATCCCGGTTTTTTCTGTGTTATACGTCTGTGGGTGGTTATATAGTCATCTATACCGATGGTTGTGCTTGTATAATAGCTGTATATTCGGGGAAAATCACCTAACCAAAGGAGGGTCAGGAGGGGGCGAGCGGCAGACAGGAATTGATAGCAGATACCTGCTGCAAGCGCAGAAAACTCTCGCGGAAGAAAAAGCGAGTTAAAAAGAAGAAAAAAAAAAAAAAAAGGAAAGGGAAAAAAAAAGTAACTTTGCAGCTTAATCGCCGGCCCCGCCGAAGGGCCGGTGGCGGCACCAGCCCTGCGTGGTTTCCTATCCCTACCCACTGGCTACGGAAGAGAGATGGGAGGGGTAAAAGGCTGGAAAGTTTTCCGAGTTTCTTTTCTGTAGCTCAATACAAGCCGCTGTTAGATGATGGAGAGGAGCGGGGCAGGGTCCGCCTGTCTGTCTAAGCGAGGAAGTGACCGCGTTACCTGCGGAGCCGTTTGCCCGCGGCCAGGACCCTCGGGTCCTGCGCAGACACGGGCAGCGGGCTATCCTTCGCTCCGTGGCCGCGAGAACTCGGGGCTCCCTTCTGGGGCCGCTGTCCCGGGCGCTTCCTCCCAAAACCGCGGCTGTCGGGGGTGTGGCGGGGCCGGCCGCGGGACCGGCGCTCCGCTGCGGCTCGGCCGCCAAACGCCGCTCTTCGGCGCGGGGGCGCGGCCGCCTGCGCGCAGCCCCGCGCAGCGCCCGGAGCGCCCCCGCGGCTCCCCGCGAAGGCGAGAGGCCACTGCTCCCCGCCCGCGCGGAGCCCCGCAGAGCCCGTTTCCCGCGGCCGCACCCCCGCGCTTCGCCCGTCGCCTCTCCGCCTCCTGTCGCTCTCGGTCGCGCTGCGCGGCAGTGCGCGGTCCGCAGCTGCCCCGCGGAGGGGCCGCGCTGGAGCCCCGGTGCGCTGCCGAGCGGGAGGCTGCGGAGCCCTGCGGCTGCCGGCGGGGTGCGCGGGGCGCGGCGCCGGCCCCCAGCATCTCTTACCCGCGTTGCTGAACGAGCCGTGACGGCCACGGGTCTCCCCGCGCTGTGAGCAGGGCAGCGGCCGCTGGCTTGGAGAGCTCTTCCCCGGTAACTTTGGATGCCAGAGGGAACGGCACGATTTCTTTGCAAGGGGTGTTTGCAGAGCAGGGGTTGCTGTGCTGGGGCTTTTTTTGTTTGTTTATTTCTTTGTGGGTTTTCTTTTTGTTTGTTTTGTTTGCTTGTTATCTTTTCTTTCTCTGATGTGCTCACCCGTTGCTACGTGATGGAGAATTACTGCCAAATAAAAAGTATAATGAATTGCAGCCGTAGTGTGTTGTGCTGGTGCTGAAACGGTTAAATTTTTGGTGGTACCTTTTTTTTTTTTCCAGGACCATTATAAATGTTCTTGTTTAACAAGCCGCCGCCTACACCACCTGCTTTTCTGTAGAAAGTGTTACAAAGTAAAGGCCCTTGAATCCAACCTTAATGACAGAAGCAGGTAATCCTTCTAGAGGGAGACTATCAAACTTCCTTAATGAGTAGTTCCACTTCATTACTGAAATACAGGCCTGGAAGCTACCGTTTTGTGTTCAGCTAGCATTCCATGTATTACTGTATGAATTAACTTATTAGGCATCTTTTTAGTAATTCACTGAAATTTGGTGTTAAATTCTCCTTGGAGAAAGGGGAAAAGCTAGAATTAAAACTGTTTTGATAGACCTGACAAAAGTTGCTTCAAGTTACAGCCTTAAGTCACACATCTAAATATCTTCGACAGTGCAGAAATGCTGTGTTTAAAGTTATAAATAGCTTTATAGCTAAAGCTGTATGGAATAGGTTCAAATTAGGAATGCTCCTGAAGAGTTGGTGTATTAGGCTATGATTAACCACTTTCAGAGGTAGGGTTACATTTAACTGAAAATAATTGTGGTGCTGCTAGAACTGATGTCTTTTATAAATGTCACCATGACGTGAAGATTTTAGGAAACTATTACCATAAAGTGAATTAGTCTGATTTTGTGTATGTGAGGTGTGAGGTAATTGCAGAGTCTTTTATTTTCTGTATTCCTGGTTGTCATTTATTTGCAGAATTACTGCTTGATCACCAAAGGGAAGTATTTTTCACTTTGACACTCAAAAAAGATCATTCCTTTTTCAGTGTGACTCTCGGCAAGGTATAGACTGTGTAAATCAGTTTGGAAATGTGTTGAAATGTTTGTGTGTCTGTGTGCTTTAAGCTGATTGTAATAACCAGCATATGGAAAATGTCCCTATGAAAAAGGAGAGGGAGGGAGCTTGCATCTTAATGACTGATTAATAGCACTTCAGAGCACTAAAAAACCCCTCACTTTGTTTTAAGCAATGAAATGGTAAAGATTTATGTATATCTGCTTATATGTGAATGGTGCATAATAATTTGTCTGTTTACAAATAAATACCTAGTCGTGATTGCAGATAATTTTCTAATAATATGAAGAAATATTAATCTGTACAAAAATTATATTAATTCTATTACTTTTCAAAATTCTTAATTTGTTTCTTAGATTTAAATCCCCTCCTTGTTATGTGTAACAAGCTGTGGAATTTCTTTTTTTTTTTCCCTTTTTTTTAGTAATATTGCTGGACTCTAAAGCACAACAGACAGAGTTGGAATGGATTTCCTCTCCTCCCAATGGGGTAAGTACTGCAGGCAAAACTTAAGTTCCTAAAGATGAGTAGTTATTTTATTGAAGCAGTTGAAAGACCTGCTTTAAACTAGTTCCCCCTCATATTTCTCTCAGTAATCGTACAGAGTGTTTATGTCTTCTTCATTTTTAGAATGAAACCTCAGGTTACAGTGTACAAATGTACAAGCTAATTAAAAGCAAGTGGCTCTTTGGAAACTTTTGGTACCTCTATGTTTTGTAGTGTATTTCTTTGTGCTGTACAAAGGACTACACTGTATATTTATAACACAGTATTTTAAATCACTTTTTTTTCCTTCCTTTAGAAACAACAGATCTGCTTCTGTGTGGAAACTTTCTAAAAATATGTTTTTCATTTTCTGTATAATGGGTGATCATAAATTTGTTTACGATGTTTTCTTTGTAATTGAATAGCACAGATTGAAGTGCTCTAAAATAAAAACATTTATACTGCAGATGTGTTTGAAATGACATTCCAAACTTGAAACATCCCCAAGCCTTGAAGAGCTTGATATCTGGAACTAGGCATGAATTATGTGGTTAAGGCCACCTCCAGCTTGCATGCAAATTAATGTCATGGCATTCTATGAAATGTACCATTGTGAAATACATCATTGTAAAAAATGAGATGCTTAGAAACACCAGTGTTATTGTCTTATTTATTATATAAGTAAAGTTGAGAAATGCTGCTTTCAGTCTGAATTAAAAGTGTTACAAAACCTCTTCTTCCTCAATCCTTGAGAAAGAACACTTTCAGAAAGATATAATGAATATATTGTCCTACCTTAACTCAGTCCTACATGAACTTAGTCTGACAAATCATAAACTATATGGACAGTTCTTGCATGGAAGCAGTCTTGCTGAATCTATTGTGACGCCTTGCATGAACAAGAACTTGGGGGATCAGTCCCTTAATCTTCAGTTCATTAAGAAATCTGGAGCCAGAAGAGCGTGAAGTGTGAGCAGGGATATAAAAGTGTAACAAATCCTTTAAATAAGAAGAATGAAAATGTGGAAGTGTCTTTCTTTAAAAGCAAGACTGTAGTATCAATACAAGCATAAACTGGAAACTAATCTAAGGACTACAGAGGGAATGCAGTGTGAGCTCAATGTTTATGATGGCCAATAACCTCAGCATTAGCATTTTGCGTTGATTGAAGTCTTTACCAGAGGTGTTTGAAAGATTAGCTTGGTGGCACTTATATTAAGCTAACCTGTAGATGATGAAAGACATGTCAACACGTGTTGCACATCAGCATACTGAAAGATGAGAGTCAAATTCAACAAATAGTGAAAGGCGAGTTTCAGAGGCAGTGAATTTCAATCACAAATTAAAAATTAATCAAAGCTAATGGCTAGATTTGTATGTGTGAAAGTGTTCAGAAAAAGCTGTCTATAAATTAACATAAAAGCACCATTTTAATAAAATTTTGAAAATAAATTATTTTCTAATTTTAATTAATTATTTACTATGCAATAAAGACTTCATGGGAATGAACACAGAAAATTTAGAGAGAAACTACTGCATTATCACAGTACAGAATATATCAGTCAGACACTCGTTAAATGCCTCATTCAACTGCGAATGCTACATTTAACACTGTTAAGATAACTAAGAAGTTAAAATGCCATAAATTGAAACCAATAGAACAGGGCATATTCAAACAGATTTGCATGTATAGCGCCATATTTTGCAGTAGGACAAAGAAAAGTGGAGTTTTCTTTCTGTGAAATTGCTCACTATAAGAACACTTCAATGAATGGTGACCTTAGCTGCTGTAGGTAAAAACATCTTGAAGTACTGATATATTTTATTTCCTTGCAGACACTCTGATTACATAATTGCATCATAAATCACATTTCCTTAATTTTTTTGCTTTGGCAAAATGTGGAACAATAGCTCCAGTACCTAATGCTAGGGATCACAAAAAGTAGTGCTTCTTGTGTGAATTATTTTCCTTGACTGTAACATAATCTCTTTGATGCTAGTTACTGTCATGTAGTGAGATTTTGACTCTGAGAAAACTCATTTGTGTTGTATTGTGATGTGTAGGTTGATTTTGTAAAATGTGTTTTGTTTGTTGCATTTTTTTGTTTGTTTCAGTTTGTTTTGTTGGTTTTTTTTTGAGGAGGAATGGTGATTTGTTTTGGTGGAGCAATCCTCATCAAAACTCCAGGAGACAGATTCTGTTGTGTGGTGCATGAGAGTTACTTTCATGTCAAAGATGCAATGCATTGTCTTAATGAATATCTTCTTGCAGAACCTGGCTTGGTGTCTTAAGGGAAGAATGCTCACACAAGATAAAACAACTCAGCCCGCACCACCAGACCATCTCAGAGAAACCCCAAAGGACAGAGCATTACCTGGCAAAATTGTCAGCTTGATCGGATTATGTTTTTAATGTGGAGATTTTTTTATTATTGTGGTATAACCAAAACCGTCTCAGTCCAGGGCCCCTTTTTAAATTTTCTTGTTTTTTTCTAGCTCTTACAGAGGTGAAAAAAGAATTTACTCATTCAGCTCTAATAAATCTATTATGAAGATAGACTTTCTTTTTTTGTTCAGAGGTTAATACAGTTCCATATGCAATCACTTCAGTTAACTCCATGAGCATTTAATAATCTATTTCAATAATTTAATACCATATGCATGTAATATATAATACTGTATATATCTCATCTATATTAACTGTAGGTCCTTGAAATGCGCTTTGATATTTACAACTTCTGTGCATTTCAGCATCTGCAGCTGTGATCTATTTTGTGGTGATAACTTCCAGCATCAATTCAGCCACATCTGTTTTTTCCTGAAACAGACAACAACATTAAAATGGTCTCATTTGCTGTCAAATAGGCTTGCAGAGTAATGTACACTGTGTGGCTCCTGATCTGGGAAACCAGTGCCTTCCATGCTTGGTTGCCGGTGTGAGGAATGTCAGTGGATGCTATATCCTGCAGAGGAGGAGCCCCACAAAGCACTTAAGCATGTGCTTACCATTAAGCTCAGGAGTACAGTCACTGATCTTAAGCATGAGCTTAAGTGCATTATTGACACAGGGCCAGAGGGCTAAGTGCCATCCAGAGAAGTCATAGTTGCCTGTATCCTGGGGTGACGATAGCTCGCCCCCCTCCTCTAATTTATTACAGCTGCAGTTTCTGCAGGCACTGAAATGTTACAAGAAATGTGAAAAGAGGTGAGAGACAAGTGCTGTTTTGGTTACACCTGGATGGTTGTAAGATCTGCCTGGTTGATTTCAGTGGAAGGTTTGCCATTGCTGGAGGTGCAAATTCCCACGCTACCAAAGGCTGTTAAAGACTCTGGGATTGTTAAAGGCTTACCAGATCATTACACAGTTGGTAACCTAAAGAGAGAGCATCAACAACACTCAGGCTTTGAACCAGCGAGCTTTCAGTCATATGGGTTGTTTTTAATTCTGTATGTAGCCTCATGGTTCATTTGAACTCCCAGGTAAACAAAGTTTGCCCCTTCCGATGTGGGTGTAGCCACTGGACAAAAGGCAAGGTGAGAAGGAGCTGCTGCTTAACCTTTCAGTCTGTAAATATAACCGAAGGTAGACTGAAAGGGAGACAACTGAAATATTTTCTTGCTTTCAGATTTTTAATTCTATCCATTTTCTCTTGCCCTCTCACTATGCCACTTCGATAACATAGGGATAAGAATCATCTGACTCGTGAGTTTCAGGACTTGATCTCATGCTTTCTATACAACTGCAAGCTTCATTGGAAGTTTTACATGCACAAGTGTTACATACTGTAATGCTAAGCAATTTCAGTTTCTAAGGCTTCATTTGACGCTAGGTTTCTTTGGAAGAGAAGCTGCCTCCTTCCTTTTGGTCTTTGCTCTCACTCAAAACCATTGTGACCTTAAAAAAATGTGAGCCCGGGGTGAAATCTGAACCTGGTGTGCTAAACAGCCTTTTCTGAAGCTGCCCCTTTGCAACTGTGCCCATGATACAACAGTGAGTTTTAGAGGTTTTATGTGGTACTGACATGAAGGGGAGAGAGAGCATACTCCTGTATTAATATGTATTTTCTTCATTTAGGTGCTTAACAGTATTTTTAACAATAACTTACTCTTAAAAACAAGGGAGACATGAGTTGTGTGAAGCTTTTTAAAATACTCAGTAGTTACATCTGATGACATACTTCTTGTTTATTACTAACTGTTTGTTATCATTTTAGTGGGAAGAAATTAGTGGACTGGATGAAAACTACACTCCTATACGAACATACCAGGTATGCCAGGTGATGGAATCAAACCAAAACAACTGGCTTCGGACTAACTGGATTGCAAAAAGCAATGCACAAAGGATTTTTGTAGAACTGAAATTCACTCTGAGGGATTGTAACAGTCTTCCTGGAGTTCTGGGGACTTGTAAAGAAACTTTTAACTTGTATTATTATGAAACAGACTACGACACTGGCAGGAATATCCGAGAAAACCAATATGTAAAAATAGACACTATTGCAGCAGATGAAAGTTTTACCCAGGGTGATCTTGGGGAGAGAAAAATGAAACTTAACACAGAGGTGAGAGAAATTGGACCTTTGTCCAAAAAAGGATTCTATCTTGCGTTTCAGGATGTAGGGGCCTGCATTGCTTTGGTCTCTGTCAAAGTCTACTACAAGAAGTGCTGGTCCATCATTGAGAACTTAGCTATTTTTCCTGACACAGTGACTGGCTCAGAGTTTTCCTCTTTAGTTGAAGTGCGAGGAACTTGTGTCAGCAGTGCGGAGGAGGAGGCGGAGAACTCGCCGAAGATGCACTGTAGCGCGGAGGGAGAATGGTTAGTGCCTATTGGAAAATGTATCTGCAAAGCAGGATACCAGCAGAAAGGAGACACGTGTGAACGTAAGTAAATGTAAAACTTGCTGTAAATTCTAGGTCATATTCTACCAGATTTTTCTTTTTTTTTTTTCCTTTATTTTTTTTCGCTTTTTTTAAAGAGAAATCCATTAGTCTGCTTTTAAAGTTTTCGGATCCTCAATCTGTGGAGTTCACACTGGTTAATCTAAATCAGTCAGTCTGTCTGATTATGAAAATCAGTGGTTGCGCAATGCATTTTTAAATTTAAAGAAAAAAAAGTTGAAGTCGTAAGAAGTATAAAGATAGGTTCAGGACTAACATTATGAACTGATTGATGTGGTGTTGTACCTTTTGGTAAGACTGAGTAAGTCATGCCTATCACAGAACATTGTGTCAGTAATGTCAGGTATGAGTAGGTAAACAGTTTGTTCTTTCACATGATCTCTGACCGAATTATAAGGAAACTAAAATAGATGTAGTAAACAGCATGGGGTATGGTTAGTAATGGGAAGAATACACACAAAATCAAAACCAAACTAGAGATTTGTGTCAAGTGTGTAAGAATTCTAAATGCAAAACAGGTATTTCAAACAGAGTATCAGATTTTCAGTGTGATTTTAATAAAGTGTGATTTTTTTTTATAATGGCTTTTTTTTTGCACAAAACTAACTCTAAACTTTTGGCTTGCAGTTGGATTATTGTGATTATTTTAAAATACTAGCAGATCAGAGACTGTTGAGTTGCACTTCCTGATTCAAGACTAATTCAGTTAATCATGTTCTTAAAATTACACTTACCCTTAGCATTGCTGTCACTGGGGCTGCAGACATAAGACATTTCTGATTAGCACGAGAAAGAAGGTTTTTTGTCTTTCCTTCCAGTAAGAATAAGAGAATGTGCAGTTTGTTTGAAAACAGATATTTTCATGCACATTTAATACAAGGTCTATAATTTTTATCACAAGATAACACAAGGAGTTATACATCACCATATGTTTATTGCAAGATAGGCAGACATTTGTTGGTGAGAAGTATTGTAAGTGAAAAAGTGGAAAAAACCTCCACAAATCTATGAAGAGGAGAAAAGTACATAATATCCAAAACAAAGCTGGCAGGACTCAATGTGTCTCAGGTGCCTCGGTCTGATGAGGACTTCAAAACCTGTAGAGGATTTGGGGCATCGTAAAACAAAGTAAATTAGTCTCTTTAATAATAGTTTGTCCTTATGAAAAAAACACAGTTCTGCTTTTGATGAGTTTTTATGAGGAAATTCAGTAGAAGGTGAAGTGAATGGAGTTGATCTGAGGCCTTTGTAGCTCCACACAAATCTTTCATTGTTCTGTTGGGAAGAGATGAAGTCTTAAACACTGCAGAGGGTGATCTCATTAGGAGTAATTGTAATGTGAAAAACTGCCCTGACAAAACTGTTTGGTAGACTGTATTAGAGGTCTGTTAAAAATATTAAGTGTTATGTAGCATTGAAATCTGTGTTGAGGTTTTAGATTTTTTTTTTTCTTCGTGACTGATTTTTTTCCATTTTTTAGTTAACTTGCTCTTGATTACAGACCTTGTTATCATTGATGTAATTAATATACTGATTTTATTTGACTTTCAGTAAGAGACAGAAAATATCCAAAAAAACCCCCAGTGTATGTTAGGAAGTGGGTGGGGGACGTGAGCTGAGTGAGCATGACAGGGATGGATAGAGAAGAAATTAATGTTTGGTGACTGGAATTCAAGTAACCTGTTTATTAAACTGGCTTCTTAATTTCTGACTGTGCTGATGTTGACAAAAGAATTAAATGATTACTTGTACTTGAGCCTGGTGGCATGCTCATTTGCAAGAACACTTCCCATTTTTGGCTTGCGTCCAAAGCAATCGCTAGGAGAACACGCTACTCTGGAAGCAGTCCAGAGGATCATTTATGGTATTTTTCCTCTTTTCTTTCAGTGATCCTGTTAAGAGTTTCAAAACAAACTCTGGCCCCATATTGAGGCAAGTTAATGTGTTTGAGAGGGAAAAGGTGGTAGGCAGGAACTCGTCGAGTGCGCGCCGAGTCGGCAGCTCCGAGTCAGAACGATATGGGTGACTGTGGCACATGCTTGTAATTGCCATGTGTGTGTCCTGTCTGGGCTGGAGGATGTTACTAAGTATGATCAACTATGTAGTGACCGATAATACAGCTGGCACACTGATATAGGGTCTGTTTTTTGTGACAGATATTGAGAGAAACTTATCTGAACATTGACACTAATGCAGCTGGCTATCTGTTACTGTCAAGCTGTGTAACAGATCAAGTGGAAGCAAGTTGGTGTGCGCTTCCTTAAGCCAGAGCTTTTATAGCCCTGTCTGAGGGCTCACTTCTGCAAATACTTTGTACCTGGCACGCTGCGTGACTTCTTTGGGACTACTCGGGGCAGAAAGTATTGTGCTCTGTCAGGATGGGCAGAAGTCTGTGATTCTTCTCTCACACTTGCTAAAGCTCTGCTGAATCAACTTAACAGGATAGAATGGTCTTTTAAAGATACAGAATAATACCTTATCTGGCTGTGTTGTAGCAAAGGTAGGAGTAGGTGGCCACATTGTAGTTCCAAATAGCTCTTCCGCCTGTAACTCAGCAGGGATTTTCATTTGTGTTACTCTAGCTTGATTGGCTGTCTGTGATTGAATAATGTGTTCCTTTTGCATACAGCTCCTCTCCTGTTTGTGAAATTTATTGAGTTCAGATACTAAAACAATTGAATTTTGATTTATACACAACTCTGCACTGGATGCATTTTTTTTTTTTTTTTTAATGAATGTAAGTAACTTGTAGTGCTGGAAAGGATAAGGAAGAAAACAGTCATGAGTGGTGAAACACATAACGTGGAAAATAAGGTCCCATGTGCCCTCTTCATTGATCTTTAAAACTGAGTTAGTTTTTGTTGTGTTTTTTTTTCCTTTTGGATGTACACTGATTACTTCTCACTATATGAGTGCCAAAGAATCTTTATGACCTCAGTGGTCTAACACATACATAAGAGAGCCAAATTTCAGAGAGCTCACAAATGCAGTTTAAAGCAAAATCTTAAAGCTGTGTGAAACAGGCATGAGAAAACTAGATGAGTCTCTGAACTTCTATTTGCAGATTGTTCTGTAATGTGTACAAGGAGACTATATCCTCAGTGTTGATCTTAGTTCTGCTGGTGTGTAGCACTAGGCTTAGGTGTGGAAATTGTAATTTTAAAGGATTATCTTGAAGGGTACCTAGGAGCAGTACTAGAAAGGTACTTAGACATATTCAGTTCTTTTAACAGTATGTATTGCATCTGTTCTGGGGAAAAAAACCCATCCAACCAACCAAAAAACCCCCATCCAAGCAACCAAAAAAACCCCAACCACAAAACCCAATGGACTTCTCAGGAACTGCAGTGGACTCCCAATAGGTCTAACTTGGACTTTTCTCACAGTGGAATTCATTTGATATATTATGCATGTAAAGGAGTACACTGTGATCAGTGATTGATATTTGAAGGTGAAAATAATTCTATGAGAGCTTCTACTATAATGTATTTTCCATCTGTTTCATGTTAGTTGGGGGTGGAGAGGGAGAGAATTAAATTTATTCAGTCAGAGAATAGAGTGATATTTCAGAAGGTAGGAAGCTTCTCTTAATATTAATGAACTGAGAAATTTCATAGATCATTGGGCACCATGTCCAAAAAATTCGAATTCCTAGGAAAAACCAAGTGGATGCATTTCACTGTTAAATGTATTATAATACTGTATGCATTAACAATTGTTTTACTGGCCTCCAAATGAGGAGGGAGATTATAGCTACTTGCACATTTTGTCTTGGTGAGGTAAAAAGGGAGCTACAGGCTTTTCTTTCCAGAATTTGTCAAGTGCTATACACTGTGCCAAAGAGCAAGCTGCATCTGTTCCTTCTCTTTTTTTGTTCTTGGGACAAACTTTTTATCTCTTCACTTTGTGAGCTACTACTTGATAACAGATCCAGAAACTGAATTTGCCTTATGTGCAGCATATTTGTGGTAAAGTATGTGTGGTTGTGGTTTTTTTGTTCAGTTGTTTTTTGATTTTTTTCTTGTGTGTTTTGTTTTTTAATGTTACTCCATTTAGGAGCTGATGTGCCACATGTTTGTTAATAGAGGACAGTGAATTTAAGATGGGAATGTGGATAAGTTGTCATTAAAACAAATATTACTACACTTCCCAAAATCCCAAGTTGCACATATTGTGAATTATGGAGTGTCACAGAAGCTGTGGGTGACTTGCAACTTGAGTAACCTGTGCTGGCATTCCTGAATTTTCAATGTGAAATTTTTTTGTTTTGTGGAGATGGGGAAAATGGTAGAAAACTTTTCAATGGCATTTATATCATCAAGACTTTAAATATTTCTTTTTTGGAAGATGAGTTACCTTTCTTCCATTTGCTTCCGGAATTACTCTAGGGAAGATAATGTAATTAGTTTCACCTAATTGAACCTGAGCAGAGAATGAGGGTATCTCTGTGTCACTGAGTCTTGTCATTTTCTCAGAAGCAGAAGTTCAACAGCAGAGCATCTATCTCCTTCTCTTTTTATTCCCTAACATATTAAATAACTTTTCTCTTCCTTTTTAAAGAAAGGTCAGTGGGATGTGATATCAGGCACCACATACAGCTGAATACAAACTATTTGATTTAAAAAAAAAAAATAAATTAAAAGGTAGGTATCTTTGCAAAGGATCCTATCACGTTTCAGGAAAATTCAGGAAAGTGAATGTAAGACCTTCTGGCTACATGGTCAAGAATTACTGAAGGTATTTCTACCATGAAATGGAGAGCTTTGATTTCTGCTTCAAGTTCCCTTTGGGATTTGTAAAAGTGGAATGTTTTTGGCTATCATTCACCCTGTAATCTTCTGACTTCCCTTCTTGTCAGGGAGCTGTCATAGAAAGATATATTTTCTTGCTATATCTTCCTTTCAAAATAGTCTAGTGTTCATAAAGACGATTATTTTTACAAATTTATTAGTCTCTCTAAGTAATTTGGATTTCTTTGACTT